GCAGGGCGGGCGCAGTCGGCGACGTTGCGTTCCCCCGCGGAGAGGGGCCAAGAGGGCGGGAACCAGCCTGGGCAGGCCAGCTCCGCTACCAAATCGAGAATAACCTGCCCGTTGGTTTGGCATGCGTGGTTGTAAGAGGCGGTGGCGATGAAAAGAGATGAGGGGGGGGGGGGGGGAGGGGGTGGGGGGGGGGGGGGGGGGGGGGGCGACGTTTTGCCTCGCAGAGAAGACGCGCCGCCTCTGCGCCAGCAGATGGAGCGCGCGTGCCATCGGCGCCCAAGCCCACGTGGCAGACGTGCCACACTGGCCCGCGCTCCCACCTGGGCGCAAGCAAACGACCCCCAAAACGGGGCGACGTCGGCGCTTTCACTGCCTCGCCAAGACGGCGCAAGGCCTCTAAGATCGCCCCAACACGACCCAAGAGGCCCCGAACAAGGCCCCCCAGATTGCCCAAAACGGCCCAAGACTACCTAACGGACCCCCCTGGGGCGCCCCCAAGAAGCCCCCTGGATGGCTCGCAAAAGCTCCCCCCCCCCCCCCCCCGTCAAAACAAATTGTCCCGACAGGCCGCCGCGAGGCCCCGAACGCCCCTCGCCAGAGAGGCCCCAAGGGGGCCACATGGCATCGACAACCGCCGAGCATGAACCCACGAGGCCCCCAGACGAACTCCGAGGCCCCAGCGCGCGCATTCTGCGCGCGACCCAGCCGCACTGCGTCGCTCGGGATTGGTCGAAGGTTGTTACATATGTTAGAAATGAAAAATCAAGCCTCCTGGCCCCCAAATGCCACCGACATATGCCCGACAGGCCTCACTGGGGCACGCGATGACCGCGACAACCCCTCAGAAGCCCACCGCCCCCTCCCCAAAGGCAGGCTGCCGGGCGCTTGCTGAGCGTCCATTGCTGTTCATACAGCGCCACAAAGAAAAAACGAGCCTGCGACGTGCGAAGTGGCAAAAGAAATTGACCCGAATGCGCGCGGGCAGCGACGCTGCGTGCGCCGTTAATTGTCGCGCGAGCCACGCGGGTCACGCGCGCGTCGCGCGACTCGCAGGACAGCGAGTGGAGAGCGAGGACGGGAGGGCCGCTGCTCGAATAAAAACGGGCGCGGGAACGCCGGGCATGAGAAGGACGGAGCGGGCGGCCGAAAAGCCAGCGCGGCTGCGGCAGGGAGACGGTGGAAAAAGGGAGGAACACGACAACAAAATATGCGGGATGAGAAAAGAAAGTGCCGCCTTTTCCGTGTCAGTGGCTCGGTGGACAAGCAGCGCTGCCTGCGCCATGTCGCTTTGACGCTCCAAAGCGACAGCTTCTCCTAGCTAGTGCAAGAAGCGCGCGAGGCCTCGCTCGTCCGCCAGCGTCTCCGCTTCACTCCTGCACCTTTCAACGCGGGAACTGAACGCCCGCAGGCGCGCCGCCAAGTCTGCGGGCGGCCCGCGGGAAAGAACGTCAAAGCAGGGGTCGCGCATCATCAGCAATTTGTCCACCGTCGTCGCCTTGGCGAGCGTCGCGTAAAGATGCTGCCAAATCGCGTCCAAGTCCTCCGCGTTCTCGCGCCCAACGTCGACCTCTGCGGTGCATGGTCCGGCCTTGGCAAACCGCGGACGTCAGGACCTCGGCGTGGGAGGATATGCGCGAAGCGCCGCTCCGCTGGAGCCTCCAGAAATCCCAGAACATGTCGACAATTTCGCAGCTCGCCCCTCCCCCCCTATCCCCCAAGGATGGCGAGGTGCAGTTTGAATGTGCATAAGGCGTCAGTCTCCTGGACCCTCCAGAAGTCCCCGAAATTGGCGTCGATTTCACAGATCGCAGCCCACCATGCCCTCCAGCAGTCCTCGGACGCGGCGACAATGTCGCAATTCGCAGCCCACCAAAGATGGCGACGTCGAATCTCACTCTGCGTAAGGCGTCACTCCGCAACTACCCTCCAACACCGAAGCTGGAAGCAGTTTCGCAATTCGCAGCCTGACCAAGGATGGCGAGGTCGAAACTCTGCGGCGGGCGTAACTCCGCTGGGCCCTCCAGCAGTCCTCGAACACAGCGACTGTTTGGCACTTCGCAGCCCTCCAGCGAAGGCGAGTTGGGGGGCTGACTCGCAGGCAGGTAGGAGACAGGTAGAAGCAGGCGAAGAGAGGAGGATGGAAGAGAGGAGGTGGGGATCGAAAAAGGGTGGCGGGAAGAAACGAGTTGCGACCGCACTGCCTTATTCAAGGCGAAAACCCAACGCAGGAGGGTGGCAAAACGCCCGCGACAGGACAGTGCTGGCTGGCGGAATGAGCGAAACGATGCAATACTTGCGATGACGATGGGCAAATAATGGTGACGATGAAACTGGAATCCCCAGCGATGAACCATAATACCAAGAGGATGAAGAAAGCGTGCATAAGGAGGATGATGAGAGATGCTGAAAAGGACGATGCTGATGATTTGATACGGGCCAAGCTGGCTCCCAAGATACCGCCTTGGGCCAAACTTACAAGCTGAGGCGATACATGGTGCCAGTCAAGACTGCATTCTCCACAATGCTCAAGATACCGTCCTTGCGCACACAAGCACAACCACACACGCACGCTAATTTTGGCGTCGCGGCCTCGCGCGCAGTGTTGATTCGTAGAAAGTCGAGAATCAGAAAACGAGGAACGCGCGCGGCCAACCCACTCAGAAGCCAAGAACAATGGCCCGCCGAGCGGGGATCAACCGTGTCATACAAAAACCCGGCGCGTGGATGCGGTGGCGAAAAAGTAGAGAGAAAGACGAGGATGAGGCGAAACGCCAGCAAATTACATTGCAGGCGAGACAAGACGAGGCGCAATGGCGGCGGCAAAGGCGAGACTGCAAGGGGCGCACACACACACACACACACTCACACACACACACACACATTCACACACACACACACACACACACACATCCGCAACAAAAACTCCCGCGGGGCGATCGACGTCGAGGCCTGGGCCGAGGAGCGGCAAAGGGGGAAGGTGAGGGGGAAAACGCGGCCGGAAGAGGCAGCGGCTATGCGACTGCGAGTGGACGTGGGGATGGGAGGAAGAGGCGACGCGCGACCAGGAAGAGCACAGACGTGAGCCCACAACAGCGCTGGTGGCTTCACGAGCGCACGCTCCCGAGCAAAATGCACTGATCCACTGTGACCTTGGCACGCCACTGAAACTCCAGCAGAGGCCAGCTCTTCGCAGCGATGTACAGCCAGTCAGCTTGGCGCAGCCAGACATAACATGACATATGGCCTCTGGGCCCACAACGTGGGCCACACGTGAAACGATATCTACGTTACTGCGCAGCTCTGCAGCTGCGCCTCTTCCAGCTATATCCCGAACCAATGCACAAATGTCCTCCGAGCACGCCGTGGAGAATCGCCAGGGCGAAAAGTGGAAGCGACGACGGAGCACGCGGACAGGGGGTGAGGGAGACAGAAGGAGGAAGGGAGGGGAGGCGAGGGAAGGAGGATGGGACCTAGTGTTGAATCGGGCGTGTCCCTCTACAGGAGGCTTATTCAAAAATAATTTAAAGATAGTAGGGGGACGATGCTTTTGAGTATTTTTGAATATTTGGTTTGAATGTTTCTGGACGTTTTAAAAAAATGTTTCGTCCAAAATCCGCCTGCGTGGAGGACACGGGTGGAGAGTGGAGGGAGGGGGCTGCGGAGGGATGGGGGAGGACGGAGGTCCTGCGGTCGGGCCTGACCGCGCCCTGTCAGACACTCCAATCCGGGGGGCCATGGTGACCTCCTCCTCCTTATCCTCCTCCTCTTCCGCCTCCTGATTATTCTTCTGTCTTACTATCATCATCCTAGTCCTCCTCCTCCTCCGCCTCCTGCTCCTCATCCTTCTTCTTCTTCTTCTTCTTCTTTATCTGCTCCTGCTTCAGCTCTGTTTCCTCCTGATGGTCCTGTTTCTGCTGAGGTTCTGCCGTCTCCTCCCCATCAAAACTGCCCACACACTTGCTGCTGCTGTTCCTGCTGATGGTGGTTCCCTTCCTCCTCCTCCTCCTCCTCCTCCTCCGCCTCCTCCTCCTCCTCCTTATCCTCCTCCTCCTCCTCCTCCTCCTCCTCCCTCGTCCTCCTCCTTCCCCCTTCTCCTCCTCCTCCTACCCCTCCTCCTCCTCCTCCTCCTTATCCTCCTTATCCTCATTATCCTCCTTATCCTCCTCCTCCTCCTCCTCCCTCCTCCTCCTCCTCCTCCTGTTCCTCTCCTCCTCTCCTCCTCCTTCTCCTCCTCCTCCTTCCCTTCTCCTCTCTTCCTCGCTTCCTCTTCCCTCCTCCTCATCGTCCTCATCATTGCCCTCATCCTTCTTCTTCTTCTCCTCGTCATGTGTTCCTCCTCCTCCGCCTCCTTCTCCTCCTCTCCCTCCATATTGTTCTTATCCGCCCTCCACGTAATCGTCCACCTTGTCATTCGCCTTCTTCGCCTTCCGCCCCCTCCTCCCCCCTATCATGCTCCAACCTGCACATAGCACCTACTCTGCACAGCATATTATCGTTCTCACCCTCCT